GGGGGGGGTGGGGAGGTGGGGAGAGATAGCAAGGGGAGAAATGCCAGATGTAGGTCATGGGGAGGAAGGCAGCAAATCACACTGCCACGTGTGTTCCTATGCAACAATTTTGCATGTTCTTCACATGTACCCCAAAACCTAAAATGCAATAAAATAAATAAATGGGGGAAAAAAAAAAAAAAGAAAAATAATTAAATTATTAGACTATCAATTCTGTTTAATTGTATGTGATGAGAACATACTTTAAGTGCATATCAGACATGTAAGAAATTATAAACAAAGCCGGGCGCGGTGGCTCAAGCCTGTAATCCCAGCACTTTGGGAGGCCGAGGCGGGTGGATCACGAGGTCAAGAGATCGAGACCATCCTGGTCAACATGGTGAAACCCCGTCTCTACTAAAAATACAAAAAATTAGCTGGGCATGGTGGCGTGTGCCTGTAATCCCAGCGACTCAGGAGGCTGAGGCAGGAGAATTGCCTGAACCCGGGAGGCGGAGGTTGCGGTGAGCCGAGATCGCGCCATTGCACTCCAGCCTGGGTAAAAAAAGCGAAACTCCGTCTCAAAAAAAAAAAAAAAAAAAAAAAAGAAATTATAAACAAAAGCATTTCAATAAAAGATTCTTGTAAGATTCAGATTTCCAGAGCTGTAGTATACAGCAGAACTCATGGAGAACTCCGTCAGTGCTTCCTCATATTCCAATACACAACAAAAGAAGTAGTTGCCCAGTTTATTTGTAAGGTCTTATCCATTCAGATTCCTTTAAATTTCTGTGTTTTGGTATTCTCCTCCTTGTACATCAATATCACACTTCGCAAAAGAGAAATATTCATTGGGAGTGTCTCATCCATGTTTAATAAAGGGAGAAATAGCAAAAAAAAAAAAAAAAAAAAAAAAAAAAGATTCCCTCTGGATAGTTCAGATTCCTCTACCAACCCACCAAAAATTAAATAAAGGAGAGAAAAAAATTCATACATTGCATACTCTAAGGCCACCTATTGGATATATGGTCTCGGCATTCCACTACGGCAACCACATTTAAAAAAACAGAAAATACCCTTCTTTATACATTTTATACAACTCATCCCCCTTTATTATCCCAATAAACTTTCATAGGGATATAATTTTAGCTTGTCAAAAAGCCAGATAATTAACACATATTCATTAAAAGAAATATTAATCCCTTTTAATGAAATGTTGAAAGGCAGTTTTTATTTTCCCAGCCATTGGGAGCCTGAGCCGGGTATATCACCTGAGGTCAATGTTGAAAGACAATTTTTAAACATTTCTGAGAGTCTATTTGCTAAGATTATTTTTATTTACATTGTTTTTTTATAGATGAGGACCCGAACAGGGTTATCTCTAACTTGCTTCCAATCACAGAGATAGTCAATAGCAGAGCCGGATGTTACCCCAAACTCACGCTCTTGCTAACAGTTAACTTCCCAGCTTCATTCTTATACTCTATCATTTGTCTTTTTTTTTGGGGGGGACGGAGTTTCGCTCTTGTTACCCAGGCTGGAGCGCAATGGCGCGATCTCGGCTCATCGCAACCTCCGCCTCCTGGGTTCAGGCAATTCTCCTGCCTCAGCCTCCTGAGTAGCTGGGATTACAGGCACGCACCACCATGCCCAGCTAATGTTTTGTATTTTTAGTAGAGACGGGGTTTCACCGTGTTGACCAGGATGGTCTCGATCTCTTGACCTCGTGATCCACCCGCCTCGGCCTCCCAAAGTGCTGGGATTACAGGCTTGAGCCACCGCGCCCGGCTATACTCTATCATTTGTAAAACATTGTATTTTCTCATACCAAGTGTTCACACAATTTGACAGTCAAAAGTACAGCATAAAAAAACAAACTCCTGACCTCAGGTGATCCGCCCGCCTCGGCCTCCCAAAGTGCTGGGATTACCCGTGAGCCGCTGGGTGGTGAGCCACCTCGCCCGGCCTAATTTTTTTTTCATAAGAAACACTGGACTTTTTCTGGTGACCAAAAACAAAACAAAACTGTCTTGTCATCCTCTGAAGCAAAGTAAGATTAGTCAACAGGATAAAGGGCCCTTTCGGGAGAGATACTTTACAGTGACAGAAAAGTAGAAAGGAGTTTCACTCATCAGAATGACACAACTTTAAAGTACAACCCAACAAACTTCCAGCCACTTGAAAACCACTAACTGGACACTCCAGACAAAAACTTATTTTCAAAACTGCTGCAATTCAAAGACTCCAATGACGGTGCAGTGGAAAATTCACGGGGACTGTATAATTTTGACACCTTTCTGCAATGACTGTCAAATGTGGTCAGGCCCCCATCTTCACTCCTCCCATCACTTTCCCTTTGAAAGATAACCTGAGACGCATCACAACCAAGCCCCTCCAACTAGGATGCTGCCCTTTTATTCACAAAACGTGTCTGGCCTCATAAAGGACACAAATTACTTTTCAAAAAAAGCATGGCCCCGGGATACAAGCCCTTTCCGGGGCTAAAGGAGTTCCCACTCTTCTTGGTGCCGCCCAAGTTCACTTTATTCATGCCCCATCCAGACGCGCAGAGCTGCAATCTGTAGGAAAACTCCGGGGGGCCAGCCCAGGGCTGGGTTATAACGGTTTTGAGGAACTGGTATCACAGGCTTCTTGGGAAGAGGCCAGATAAACTCACCAAGTTTTTGTTTTGCTTTTTTTTTTTTAAGTCTGGGTGGAACTTACTTTCACCAGGACGTGGGACGCCTTCCCTCCCTAATGAGTACTGGAGGACAAGCTTTCCTTTATTTTATACGAAGTCACTCACCCTACACCAAACTGAGAACACAACCCTCCCTCTTTCTGGTCGCCGAAGACGTGCCCACAGCGCAGCGGGCTGTAGGTTTGGAGCCCTCAAGGCTCAGCGCCCCTCATCCCGTTTCCCCCATCCAGCCCAACGCCCACTTCGCCCGCGCCCGCCCTGGTCCTCCTGGCCGACACTCGCCCGCTCCCGGGACAAAGCGGAGATGAAGGGACGTTTCCTTCGGGGTCCCCCCACCACAGCGGGAGCGGTGAAGCGGCCCCGAGCTCCGCGCGCACTCACCCGACAACTCGTCCGGCTCCAGCCCGGTCTCGGTGTCCAGTCCGCAGATGACAAAGTAGTCCGCGAAGCGACTGGGCGCCGAGCCCCCTCCGCCGCCGCCGCCGCCGCCGCTCATGGCGCAGGGGCCGAGACAGGCCGGGCCGTGCGGAGCGGCACGAAGCCCCCGCAACCCCGGCGCCCGCCGGCCCTCAGGCCGCCCCTCCGGCCGCCGCCGCCGCCGCCGCCGCCGCCGCCGCCGCCGCCGCCGCCGCCGCTACCGCGGCTCGGGCCGCCGCCCCCAGCCCTGGCTCTGTCCCCTTGGCTGCCGCGGCTGCCGTGACGGGGCGGGGGGGCACCGGGCCGCCCCGCGCCGCATCCTGGATGCCCTCCCCTCTGCGCCGCCGCCGCTGCCGCTAGCCGAGAGCGCTGCGGCCCGAGCGAGCCTGAAGAAGGGCGGAAAGCGCGAGGACAGCCCCCACCACGGCCCCTCTCCCGCCGCGCCTGCGCAGGCGCCGTCCGGGAGGGGGCGGGCTAGTGGCGGAAAGGATGACGTGATGCTCTTCTGGCCCCGCGGGCCGCAGCTTCCCGCGGTCGCCGCATCGCGGCCGGCGACTGCTTGGTCGCCCGCAACTGCCACCCCTCCCGGGACTGCGACTCTTTTAGGGAGGGCTGAGGAGGTGCGAGAAGAGTGGGCGCAGCCTGCAGAGCCGGGCACCTGGCACATGCTCTGCCCCCAACCACCCATCCAGCAACCAGAGGTCCAGAGATCTTAGCGCGGCCTTGCCATGGGGATGGGGTCGCACGGCTGAGCTCGGAAGCCCACCCAATCCTATCTGCAGCGTGTCAGCCTAGACCCCAGACAGGGCATTCTCCCTGTCCCCTCTTTTGGCAGGGGCAGATCAGCCGGTTTTGTATTTACCCTTATTTTACAGACGGGGAAACTGAGTCTCAGAAAGAAGCAAGGACTTATCCAAGGTTACACTGAGTCTAAGAGACAAAGCCTGATCTAGACTCCTGGGCTTGTGGTCAGCTCCCCGTTCCTCGCCGCTCCCATCTCCCAGCCTGGCCTTTTCCCGAGTCCTCTCTCCTGTTTTCTCTGGAAGCCTCCGGAGGCCCCTGTCATTTGGGAGCTCCCCTTCCTCTTCACCCTATGAAAACTCTCAGATCCATCTCTAAACCTGTTTTCCTGTACGAAGATGGAGAAGAGGCAGAGGAAAACTTACCTATTGGTCCTTATCCTAGGGCCTTCCGATTTCCTGTCCCATAGAAGCTAGGCAGATGTGTCTTTGTTGGAAACTGGAGATCAGAGGCCAGGAAGGCAACGAAAGTATAGTGGTTACTAGCATGGGCTCTAGAAAAAAATGCTCAGATTTCAATCCTGAAGATCATTTACTTGTGACCTTGAGCAAGTTACTTAATCTCTAGGCATCGTGGAGATTAAGTAGGAATCGTGGTTTTTAAGAAAATTACATAAGATAAATGCAAGTACAGGTCAAGCAATGAGAATACTGCCTGAAACATGGAAGTCACTCAGTAAATATTACAGATTTTTTTTTAAGATGGAGTTTTGCTCTTGTTGCCCAGGCTGGAGTGCAATGGCACGGCTCACTGCAACCTCTGCCTTCTGGATTCAAGCGATTCTCCTGCCTCAGCCACACAAGTAGCTAGGATTACAGGCACTTACCACCACACCCAGCTAATTTTTTGTATTTTTTGTATTTAGTAGAGATGGGGTTTCATCATGTTGGTCAAGCTGGTGTTGAACCCCTGACCTCAGGTGATCTACCCTCCTCCTCTACCTCCCAAAGTGTTGGGATTACAGGCATGAGCCACTGCTCCCAGCCTGGATAATTATAATTGTTCCAGAAAGAGGTGCGCTTAAGGTTTGCTCTGGCAGGCTGCCACTAAGGGTTGTAGAAGGCAGCTGGCTTCCCCAAGGGCTGAGCCTAGGCTGACTCCTAGGTTCTCCTGGGTACTTCTTTCAAATATTGGTTCCCTTGGGGAGGTTGGCCTAGAGATCGTAGCCATCATCACATGGAGCCATAGCACCTGTTTCTCCCTATATCTAACCTGCCTGAAGTTGGGGGAGAAAAGTGGGGAGGAGAAAGTAGTTTCCAAAAGCCCATTCATGGTGATGCTCCACTGTATCCTGCATGCTAGGGACACAGAGACAGTAGAGGGGGATTAGAGAGTGAAATAGTCACAGAGGCCTGGTACAGTGGCTCATGTCTATAATACCTAGGGAGGCCGAGACTGGTGGATCACTTGAGGTCAGGAGTTCGAGACCAGCCTGACCAGCATGGTGAAACCCTGTCTCTGCTAAAAATACAAAATTAGCTGGGCATGGTGGGGGGGCAACTGTAGTCCCAGCTGCTTGGGAGGCTGAGGCAAGAGAATCAACCCAGGAAGCCGAGGTTGCAGTGACCCGGGATCACCCCACTGCACTCCAGCCTGGACAACAGAACAAGGCTCTAGCTGAAAAAAAGAAAAAAACAAAAACACAAAAACAGTTACAGAGCACAGAAGGAGGACATCTCTCCAGGTTGGGGAATGGTCACGGAAGGTTTCCAGAAGGAGGTATATACTCTGACCTAAGTGCCAGAGGATCAACAGGAGTTTCTCAGGTAAAAAAGGGTGTGGGGGGGGAAGAGGTTTAACTCAGTATGTGCAACAGGAAGCAATAGATAAAATGGTATGTTCAGGCACCAACAAGTAATTTATTAACACTAAGATGTTGGCCAGGCGCGGTGGCTCATGCCTGTAAATCCCAGCACTTTGGGAGGCCGAGGCGGGTGGATCACGAGGTCAAGAGATCGAGACCATCCTGTTCAACATGGTGAAACCCCGTCTCTACTAAAAATACAAAAATTCAGCTGGGCATGGTGCGTGTGCCTGTAATCCGAGCTACTCAGGAGGCTGAGGCAGGAGAATTGCCTGAACCCAGGAGGCGGAAGTTGCGGTGAGCCGAGATCGCGCCATTGCACTCCAGCCTGGGTAACAAGAGCGAAACTCCGTCTCAGAAAAAAAAAAAAAAAAAAAACAAAAAAAACACTAAGATGTTAATTCATTAACACTAAGATGGGAGATGAAGAGTTTAAAAAGGATAAAACCAGGCGGGGAAGAAGGGGAACAGAGGAAGGAGGAATGGATTCAAATACCAGGCTAAAGAATTTATCCTCAGCCAGGCATAGTGGCTCATGCTCACGCTGGTAATCCCAAGACTTTGGGTGGCCAAGGCGGGAGGATTGCTTAAGACCAGGAGTTTGAGACCAGCCTGGGCAACATAATGTGACCCCTGTCTTAAATAAATAGATAGTAGTTTTAAAAAATAATTTATCCTTTAAGGTATATGAATTGAGAAGTAAGGTAAAGGAATTCAGTCAAGCCAAGGAGTGCCAACACCTGATCCAAATCTGAGCATGATCCCTCTGGGGGTGATGTGGAAAAAATTTTTGAGGAAGGAATAAATGTTCTCAACTGAAAATTCCAGAAACTTTTTATCCAAGGTGTCCAGGGTGATCTGGTGCTAGATGACCTCTCATATTAACTCAACTCATTAAACACAAGTTAAAAACAAATGTATAACTATATTAATTTGCCCTGGGAAATATAACTGCTCAGAAGCCCAGAATAGTCAACTGTAAAGTGATCTCCTTCCCAGTAGGAAGTAAGTTTGGCAAAGTGATTGCTTCTTAGAGAGTCAGAAAATATAGAAAGAGATTCTCTTGGCCGGGCGCGGTGGCTCAAGCCTGTAATCCCAGCACTTTGGGAGGCCGAGGCGGGTGAATCACGAGGTCAAGAGATCGAGACCATCCTGGTCAACACGGTGAAACCCCGTCTCTACTAAAAATACAAAAACATTAGCTGGGCATGGTGGCGTGTGCCTGTAATCCCAGCTACTGAGGAGGCTGGGGCAGGAGAATTGCCTGAACCCAGGAGGCGGAGGTTGCGGTGAGCCGAGATCGCGCCATTGCACTCCGGCCTGGGTAACAAGAGTGAAACTCCGTCTCAAAAAAAAAAAAAGAGATTCTCTTAAGATTTAATGTTTGTTTGTTTGTTTATTTGAGACAGAATCTCATTCTGTCACCCAGGCTGGGGTACGGTGGCACAACCTTGGCTCACTGCAACCTCTGCCTCTTAGGTCAAGCTATTCTCCTGCCTCAGCCTCCTGAGTAGCTGGGACTACAGGTGTGTGTCACCACTCCTGGCTAATTTTTGTATTTTTTTTTCTATTTTGTTTATTTTTTATCACCCCCCCACGCCCCCTAATTTTTGTATTTTTAGTAGAGAAAGGGTTTCACCACGTTGGCCAGGCTGGTCTGGAACTCCTGACCTCAGGTGATCTGCACACCTTGGCCTCCCAAAGTGCTAGGATTACAGGCGTGAAGATTTAATGTTTAAATCCCCACCCTCACTCTTACTAGCTGTGTAAGCTGGGGCACATCAGTTAACCACTCTGAAATGAAAGAGTCATCTGACCCTTCACAGAATTGCATTGAAGATTCATAAATCAAATTTTTTTAAAAATGAATTTTTAAAATCGGCATCCTGGATCACCCATTTTAGCATGAGGAACATGAGAGAGCAAGTGGATATCTGAGGGAACATAACTCCAGGACAGGGTGTGCGGCAGAGTGTGCCTGGAGTGTTCATGGAGCAATAAGGAAGCCAGGGTTGCTGGAGAGGGTTAGGGTAAGGAGGAGTGGCAGAAGATGGCAGAAGGTATGGTGGAGTTGGTTTGCAATGCAGAAACATCATTTTCCCCTCCACAGTGTGTGAACTAGCCTCCTCAGGGACACTGCCTAGATCTACTTGCATCCAGATGTGGCCATGTGACTAGTTCTCAACAATGGAGTGTGTTTAGGACTTTATGTAGGTCACCAGTAGGTCAGGGCACTTAAGAAGCAGATTAGGGGCTGGGTGCGCTGGGTCACGCCTGTAATCCCAGCTCTTTGGGAGGCTGAGGTGAGTAGATCATGAGGTCAGGAGTTCAAGACCAGCCTGGCCAACATGGTGAAACCCCGTCTCTACTAAAAATACAAAACATACCAAAAAAAAGCCAGGGGTGGTGGCAGGCTTTTTTAATCCCAGCTACTTGGGAGGCTGAGGCAGGAGAATCGCTTGAACCTGGAAAGCAGAGGTTGCGGTGAGCCGAGATCACACCATTGTACTACAGAGTCTCAACAGTGCAAGACTCTGTCTCAAAAAAAAAAAAAAAA